ATCTTCATAATTTTAGGATTCACATTTAGATCTTTAATCCATGTTGAGTTCATTTTTGTATAGGGTGTGAGGCAGAGGAGACCATTGTTTTTATCTTCAAAATTTAACCACAATCCAACTGTTTTCTCCTCTATTAGGACTCTGGGAGTGTGGTGGCTCTGTAGGATAAGCACGGGACTGCTTACCTCAAGGTTGGCAGTTTGAGCCCACCAGCTGCTCCCAAGGAGAAGGATGAGGGTTCTGCTTCTGTAAAGATATTCAGCCTTGGAAACCCTACACAGGGTTGCTATGAGTCAGAACCCACTCAGTGGTACTCAAAAACAACATCAACTACTTCTTCTCTGGTTTGCTGGTGGTAGTGGTGCTGTCAAGTTGGTTCTGACTTACAGGGTTTCCCAAGAGTGGCTGGTAGGTTAACCAACTTTGTGGTTAGCTGTCCAGTGCTTGTCCTGCAGCACAACACCAGGGCTTTGCTTGCAAAACTGCTGCGGTTTAAGAGGCTATTATTTGGCTTGGATTTTTCAACTGTCATATATTTATTCTTTTCAATATGAGTTGCAAAGCCTTTATTCCATTATTGTCATATCTCTCTTATACAATGCCAGTTCTCCTCTCTGTCTTTTTAATAGGAAACCATTACCATTGGGAAGACCTAAGTTAGGCAACTTAAAGATCATGTTTGGTAAAGTGGAGGGTCATTGAAACAGAGGAAGACCCTCAACAACAACAAGATGGATTGACACCGCAGCTCAAACATGAGAAAGATTGTGAGCCTGTTGCAGGAGCAGACAGCGCTTTCTTCAGTTCTATGTCGGGTTGCTGTGAGTCAGAACTGACTCGACGGTGCCTAACAATAATAACGAGTTAGTAGAATTCTTGCCTTCACGCACAAGACCCAGATTCAACACCCAGCCAACACACCTCAAGTGTAGTCACGCATCTGTCAGTGTAAATGTGTGTGTTGAAAATGTGGTGTTAAGTGCCATTGATATTAAACATTGCATCTTTTTTAGTAGCAGCTCTCCTGTACAGAATTATTTCATTTTCCATCATGGACCTATACATATTATGTCTTCATTTAAGGTTCTCCTTGGTTTCTTCCTTTTACTTTATCAAAAGTGTAGGTCAACACTCCTGCCTAGCTAAAATGCCATTCTGACACCTTCCCTCCCTGAACAGAAACTTTTAAATTAATATCAAAGCATGTCAACATACTTTTTATAATACTGCTTTTATATTTAAAAAATATACTTATACCATTGTGACTTTACATTGATGCTCCCCAGAGAACTGAGGGTTTGCTGTCTAGACCATGCATGTTTCTGAGTACAGTAATAATAACTTACATGCTCTCCAAAGATTCCATGATGAACTGATGATTTCAAAGCCATTCATATCAAATTGATGAGAATGAATGTGCCATTAATGTGCATTTACAAAGGACTCCAATTCTATGGAAATGACTTTCATATTGAAGCCAAAAATCAGTCTAAATTTGTTGTTCTTTTCAGAAGTTCTGCAAAGAATTTTTGGCATGGAAGTGAAGCTCGTAGAGTTTAGCTACTGTAAACCAACTCACCAAGCAGCACGCTCAGTAAATGGACTGCACATGGTTTGAGTATTTGAATAGAGATCAGCAAACTTTTAAAAAAGAACCAGATAGTCAATATTTTACACCTTGCTCCCACACAGTCTCTGTCATAACTACCTGACTCTGCCCTTACAGTGAAAAAGCAGCCATTTAAAAAGCATGATTGGGTTCCAATAAAAGTTTGCTTGTAGATACTGACATTCAATTCATATAATTTTCATGTGCCATGGAATACTCTTTTTTATTTTTTTCAAGCCTTTGAGCAGGTCATTCAAAAGCAGGTGGTCAGGCGGATCAGGCTCATGAACCCTGTGTGCTAACCCCTGACTATAGAGGGTAGAAGTGATGAGTATTTTTACTTCTCCTCACAGGGAAGTATTTGATATTTTTTTGTGGAGAAACTAATCCAATACCATTTCTTCCTCCTCTGAGTGTTATAGGTGCTGAAATTTGATGCCTATTTTCAAGAAGATGTCCCTATGTCAACTGACGAGCATTATAGGATCCGTCAAGTGAACATTTACTATTATCTAGAAGATGATAGCATGTCTGTGGTAGAGCCCATTGTGGAAAATTCCGGGATCCTTCAAGGCAAGTTAATCAAACGCCAGCGGCTAAGCAAGAATGACCGAGGAGACCATTACCATTGGAAAGACCTAAATCGGGGCATAAACATCACAGTTTATGGCAAAACCTTCCGCATTGTTGACTGTGACCAGTATACACAGGTATGGTATATATTTCTGGAAGGTGTGGGGTCTGAGGCATCATTCTAAAACACACACTTACTAGAGTAAGATCATCTGTTCTATGTGCATATTGTCCAGATTAGCTTGGCATACAAATGTGTTTGCCAGCACTGTGTCATTTCCCTCTTATACAATGCCAGTTCTCCTCTCTGTGTTTTTTAATAGGAGACCATTACCATTGGGAAGACCTAAGTCAGGCAATTTAAAGATCATGATTGGTAAAGTGGAGGGTCTGTGAAAAAGAGTTGTTTTTTTCTCACAATGGTATTGGTAGATATCCACTCAAAAAAGAATTAAGCTCTTATCATAGCTGAACTATTTGAAAACAAAACCATTTTCAGGCCAGTTCAGATAGAGGCTAGGAGAGCAGGCAACCCTGATGGTGTGAAAGTGTAAAAGAGGTACTGGGCAGTTTATCTTAAGTTTGAGTTTACAGAGTCTTGGTGGCACAGTGGTTAAGCACTTGACTACTAACTAAAAGGTTGACAAACCCACTAGAGGCTTTGCAGAGGAAATATGTGGCAGTCTACTGAAAAGATTGACAGCCTTGGAGACCCCACGGGTCGTTCTGCTGTGCTTTATAGAGTTGCTAGGAATTGGAATCAATTCCACCCCAATAGGTTTAGTGTTCGGGTTGGGTTTACAAAAACAATTCTACTTCTGTGTAACAGATTTGAGTCTAAACTTTTTTGTGAGGTTAATTTTTTTTTTCTTTTATATAAACCATATTTGATATAGTCTAGAGAAATTTGATATCAAAACCCAAAACCCAAGCCTATTGACACCTAAAGGATTCCTGAAATCATCTTTCAATATATAACGAAAAATCTTCTCATTTATATTGGTAAAAATCCTCCACTTTCTCTGTGTCATAAATTTGGATTTTTTATGCGAAGTCAACTGAAAGTGAAGCAACTTTCCCCCACAGAGCAGCTGGTCAGTTCGTGTGGCCAGCTTTTGGTTAGCAGCTGAATGCTTTATCCACTACACCGCCAGGTCTTCTTATATGTAGGATCCTGTAGGGTTGCTGTGTATTGGAATCAACTTGACAGCAGTGGGTAGGGTTTTATGGCACTGTAGGTTCAGCATTGGACTGTTAATGCAAAGTTGACAATTCAAGCCCGCCAGCCACTCTTTGGAAACCCTACACAGAGTCACTATGAGTTGGAACAGACTCAACATCACTTAAGAACAATATAACATGCATATGTATATATACATATATGTAAGGAGCTCTGGTAGTGTAGTGGTTACAAATCAGGCTGCGAACCTAAAGGTCAGCAGTTCGAAACTACCACCCTCCATGGGAGAAAGATGAGGCTTTCTGCTCTCATAAAGATTTACAGCCTCAGAAACCCGGTACAGGGTCGCTATGGGTCAGAACCAACTCGACGGCACTTAACAACAACAACATGCATCTATGTAGTAGTTGTTGTTAAGGAGATCTGATAGTGTAGTGGTTATGAATCAGGCTGCTAATCTCGTGGTCAGCAGTTCAAAACAACCAGCTGTTCCACCGGAGAAAGATAAGGCTTTCTGCTCCTGTAAAGATTTACAGCCTAGGAAACTCTGCACAGGGTCGCTATGAGTTGAAACCGACTCCATGGCACATTAACAACAACAAGTTGTTGTTAAACATATTGTGGTTAAGTCCTACAGCTCTATCAGGACTCCATACACACACACACATATGTAGTCTTGGTGTGGCACTCTAGAATAAGCGTTGTACTGCTAACTGCAGTGTCAGAGGTTCAAACCCACCAGCTGTTCCTCAGGAACCTGGTGGCACTGTAGGATATGCACTGGACTGCTAACTGCAAAGTTAGTAGTTCAAACTCACCAGTCACTTTGCTGGCGAAAGATGAGGGTCTCTGCTCCCATCAGGGTTTATAGCCTCAGAAATCCTATACAGGGTTGTTATGAGTCAGAATCAACATGGTGGGGGTAGTAGAGATATCTATGTATACACACACACTTAAATACGTGAGGAACACAGTGACTCCTTAGGATATTATATAAATCTAAAGTGTTGCATTTATTCTTGTGATTGTATCTTTACAGACAACTTGAATAGTTTCAAGTGGATCACTGAACAGTTCATCGAATGCATTTACTTTAATGGCTGATATTTGACTGTTGTTGGGAATGTCGTCCAGTCAGTTCTGACTCATGAGGGCTGTACCTATGCAGAGTAGAGAAGATATCTCTCTTTATGGTGTGATTTGAATTAGGAAGTATCTTTACTCAAATATATCATCACTGCCACCTCTTCATATTGCCCCAAAAAACCAAACCTTGTAACTCACCCCCTTTCAAAAAAAAAACCCACAGACTTCACATTAATTTCCATTTCCAGAATGTAAACAGTGCCCATGAAATTATGCTTTTCTTTCTGATTATAAAGCAAGGTTTGGTTTATTGTGGTGCTTTTAAGAAGACAAAATGCCAAGCTATAGTTACTGTGAAACTAATTTTATATTTTTACTCATATATAAATATAACATTTAGCACGATCATGATCATGTCAAATTCATATGCTTTCCTTTTTCTTGTGAGATTTGAACACTTGAGTTGCCTTTTTTAATTTTTTTTCTAAAATGCATTTTGGTCTTAAATAACCACTAGTTGCTCCCTCATCCTTTTGAGTGTTGTATGTGGGTAGAAACTTAACCATGTACTTGTTTTGATTAAATTGCAAAGTTAAGAATGTGATGTCAGCTTAACTTGGCCATTATGTTGCTTGCTCCCATACCTAGTATGATTTACATAGTGTATTGAAACTGTGTTATGTTTCTGAAGCTGTGAATGTAAGCAATCCTGGGTCTTACTTTTTTTTTTTTTTTAAGTTTTTTGTGTGAATTATGTGACAGTTTACATGGGAGAACATTAGCTTTACATTTATCCTATTGTATTTCGTTTCATTGCAATGATTACAATCCCCTCCATACATTATCAAACAACCAAAGGGTATACACCACAAGCCTGACCCCCGGCCATCAGCACACAGCCCCTCTCCCTCCCTGAGTCCAGAGCCCCCAGCCGTTCCATCTCTCCACATCATCGTCTCTGCCTCCATCTCTGGCGTCACTGCTTCTCTGGATAGGGTCCCGCACTCTACTCCTCTCCCTTGATGGTCCCAGGAACCTATGCTCCTGGACTGCAAAATCCCCTCCTTTTGCTACAAAACGTCTACCTTTACATTTCCAACCCTCACAGTCAGTCCTGATAGCAATTATTCACTATTATACCACAAAAGTCTTATCTCCATCTCCTTTCATCAGCCCAGTCCAGACAGATTAGCAACCACTCAGTGGAGATTCTACCTTCCCCGCACCCTGTGGAACTAGGCTCCCTCTTGAAAGTTTATAAGCCAGTCACTTCTTGCCTTTGTAACCTCCCCCTACCCCCATTTTGCTTAGCCAATGTCTATGTTGCCCATCCCTGTCAACTGAGGCGGTGGGAATAATCCTCGCTGTTAAGATTTGTTCCCTGTTTTGAGCTACTACATCCATAAGTATAGGTCAAGCTCATCAAATTGTATAAGATTACTCTTTTTTTTCCTCTTCTTTCTTCTTCTAGTTGAGTTCTGATCATCCAGTCATTGAAGCCAGATCAACTGGGTACTATCTACAAGTGTGGATGTTCTTGTGCATATCCCCTCACTTCTTATCAGCTGGACGCTTCACTCTCCACTCTAGTCCTCTGTGGCCATGTCACTATCTCTGGGCCCAGGAGTCCCCAGGTCTTGCCATACTGCTGGCCAACCAGTTCTCAACCTGGGTTCACAGGAGTCTATTGAATGCGGTCGGACTTAGCTCAAAACTTCATTGCTGTTTTCCCCCACTTCCCCTTATCAGTGACCAGCGTGGTCACCAGCCAGACCACATGCCTGCTCATGTATTCCCCTTGAGTCTTAGTCTTGGAAGGGGGTCAAACCACTTACCTTTATGGCTCCCTGGCAAACAGCTTGCTTGTTCTTGTACTAGTCAATCAGACTGCCATTATTGTATTGACGTTTCCTGCCAGTCTTTCTTTCAAGAAGTATCGTCTGTTCTTCTAGCCACTCCAGGCTGGTCTGCTTGACCTTTCACGTGGAAATTTCCCACTCAGAAGAGTCTGGATGGGGTTACAGATTCTACCTGTAGTCTTATGCAATGCAAAAGGCTCCACAGGGAGCCTCCTTCACTGTGCAAGTTCTAGCCCCTTTAAGGTATTCCAATCAGTTATAGCCTGAAGAAGGACTTAAAGGCTTTCTATGGTGATGTTTCTGGCTATTCCTTTCTTTCCCCCTTAAGTGTTTCTTTTACAGTGATAGCCAAGGGAAACCAAGATTCAAAAGACAGCCATGCATCTTAACATTATTTCCCCTCTTTTACCCATTCAAATGGTTAAGAATCATACTGCAAACCTTAAGGTCAGCAGTTTGAAACTACCAACCGCTTTGCGGGAGAAAGATGAGGCTTTCTGCTCCCGTAAAGATTTACAGCCTCAGAAATCCTGTACAGGGTCGCTATGGGTCGGAACCGACTCGAAGGCACTTAACAACAACAACAACCCATTCAAACCATGCCTCAATCCCTGTTTCCCAGAGCCCTGTTGTTTCAAGGTTGTGTGTACATCATTATTTACCTGTGTCCCACTTAGCCCATGTAAACCGGCCTAATTTTTTTCCCATCCACCTTGTTCTTCCATTCCCCTCCCCCTTCCTGTGTATTGCCCCCTTCTCTCCACACAGAGCCCAACCTATCCTGTTTCTATTCTATACCCTGTGCTCCACCTTCCCTTCCCTCCCCTCACCCCACCCCATACATCCCGGTAACCAGCAAAGAATTTTTTCCCCCTTTTAGTGTGGGTTCTTTTTCTTAATCTTTTACAATAATGGTCCTATGCAGTATTTCTCCTTTTGTGACTGACCAGTTTCACTCAGCATAATGTCCTCAAGGTTCATCCATGTTAGGCAGTGGCTTGCAGCTTCCTTGTTATTCTTCAAGGTAGCATAATATTCTATTGTGTGTATAAATCACAGTTTGCTTATCCGTTCTTCCATTGATGGGCACTTAGGCTGTCTCCATCTTTTTGCTGTTGTAAATAGTGCTGCTATTAACATTGGTGTGCATATATCTACTCGTGTTATGGCTCGTATTTCTTGTGGGTAAATACCAAGTAGAGGAATTGCTGGATCATAAGGTATTTCTATTTCCAACCTTCTGAAGAAGTGCCATATTGCTTTCCAGAGAGGTTGGACCATTTTGCAATCCCACCAGCAATACAGGAGTGTCTCAGTCTCTCCACATCCTGGCCAGCATTTATTGTCCTCTACTTTTTTGATCCCACCACTCGTCTGTCAGTTTATCGTACTGTAGTTGCTTGTAAGTTGCTGTGATTCTGAACAGTAGCTGGAGAAGGACATCATGTTTGGTAAGGTGGAGGGTCAGAGAAAAAGAGGAAGACCCTCCAACAAGATGGATTGGCCAAGTGGCAGCATCGATGGACTCAAGTGTGGCAACAGTAGTGAGGTTGGCCCAGGATCAGGCAGTGTTTCGCTCTGTTGTGCATAAGGTCACTATGGGTCGGTACCAACTCAATGGCACCTAACAACAACTTTTTTGATCTTTGAAGACTTACTCTTTTTGACACCTAAATAAATTTCATTAGCCTGAATTCATATTTGGAACCAGTTACCTTATTGTCATGTCTCCCAGACTAGTGTAGCATGTTGTTGTTAAGTGCTGTTCAGTTGGTTCCAATTCATAGTGACCCTACATAGATTTCCAAGACTGCAAATCTTTGTAGGAACAGTGAACCTCATCTTTTTCCTGGGGAGTGGCAGATGGGCTCAAACCACCGACTTTGTGATTGCAGCCCAGTGTTTTTCTTACAGAGTCACTGCATTCCCCTAACTTAGTATAATGCCTAGCAATTTTATAATAAGGTATGTGTTAATAAATTATTCATTGTTATCTACATTACAGAGTTGGGCCAGTGGAGTTCTAGTACTGTTAACACATGATCAAGCTGCAAATTAATGGTTGATTTGGATAATAATATAGAAATTATGATTAATAAATTTGTGGCCCCAAAATAATTTCTATTATCTTGGGGCCACAAATGTATTACTTGCTCTAAGAAGCTTCAAGAACAATGATCATTATTAATTTTGAATTATTCAGGTATTTTTGGAAAGTCAAGGGATTGAATTAAATCCCCCAGAGAAAATGGCTCTTGATCCTTACACTGAACTCCGGAAACAGCCTCTTCGTAAGTACATCACCCCATCGGACTTTGATCAGCTCAAGCAGTTTCTCACCTTTGACAAACAAGTAAGTGACCTAGGTTTGTTCGTTTTCTGGTGTGGCACATGCATTCATCTGCAAGCTATTTTGGTAGATGTGGGTTTTGAATCATTATGCCTATAATTTGACCCTTTGGTACAATCCTACCTTTCTGGTTTCATCTAGGATTAGAAGTATAGAATACCAAAATATCATGTTAGAGATCCACAGAAGATTGTGGAGTTATATCTTGTGAGTTTCAGTAAAGTTTTACATTTAGAGATAATTTCTGAGCTACATCTGCTTCCAGTTTGTATTTCCAGTTGACCATTTCTTTATGCAAATGTGACTTAATCTCACAGAAGAATCCTTTGAGAAATCTTAAATGAGTTATTGGGAAACTCCTTAAATAAATAAATGTAGGTTCCTATTAATATAATAATTTCACAGAAATCCCAATGCTGAGGTTTCTGTGTTAAATTTTATATTGATGTATGAGTACAGAATGTTCTGGATACTTTCCAACTCTGTTCTAATCTTCCTGTCCTCCCCCTATGGTTTGGTAGTCTTGAGTCTTCTCTTTTCCTTACTGAAAGGAAAGAAAAAGGGGAGCGCATCACCCTCGATTCCTTTTCAAGGCTCTTATTCTTTTCAGAAATGTAACTACTTTTGGTTTAGAAAAGTTTACCTATCAGTGTTGTCGTTAAGTGCTGTCAAGTTAATTCTGACCCATAGCAACCCTGTATAGGGTTTCAAAGGAGCAGCTGGTGAACTTGAACCACTGACCTTGTGGATCAAACTGACTTTGCAGTCCAGTGCATTAACCCACAGCACCACACCAGGACGCCTACCTATCAGTGGTGGTGGTGGTGGTGGTGGCTATGTGCCATGGAGTTGGTTCCAACTCATAGCGACCCTGTATAGCGTTTCTGAGACTGTAAATCTTTATGGGAGCAGAAAACCTCATCTTTCTCTCAACAGAACAGCTGGTAGTTTCAAATTGCTGACCTTGAGGTTAGCAGCCTGACTCGTAACCACTACGTTACCAGAGTTCCTTATTAGGATCTTCTTTATATCAATAATGTATCTTATTCCTTTGCATTTAAAGATTATATTGTTGATACTGTTAGTAAAGACATTTGCTGATGGAAGACTGATTAGTAAATGAACACTTTTTCATATAATTATATGCAAAACTATTTATGTGTGCCTTTACTAATACATGTAAACCATTGTAAAAGGGACCCATTGCTTTTTTAATGGAGCTTGTCTTTTCACTCAAGATAATTTTGAATCAAAGTGAACTCATCTTTCTCGGCACAAACTTATGAATCTATTACTTAGTTATTTTCAGCCAGTCCATAATTTCAAATGTTAGTCTAGTATCTCATGAATTTGTGTTTTTTTTTAATTCACCATCTGGGTTTAAGTCACAGACTTTGCAGCTGATTGTCTGATAGATAAATGCCAAAGAACTTAGTTAAACTCTCCAGTGGTAGGATTCTTAAGTGACTGCTTTGGATTTGTCAAAGGTTCTCCGGTTCTATGCACTCTGGGATGATACAGACAGCATGTTTGGTGAATGTCGGACCTATATCATTCATTACTATCTTGTGGATGATACGGTGGAAGTCCGAGAGATCCATGAACGAAATAATGGGCGAGATCCTTTCCCACTCCTGGTGAACCGCCAGCGCCTGCCCAAGGTTTTGGTGAAAAATGCTGGTATGTTTGATTCAGTGTGTCCTCTGTTCATTGGGATTGTTTTTTTGAATCTCAAAGGAGTTCCTTAGTCCCATGGTCCTTCCTTTCACACTTTTGCTGTGCTCAGAGAATGACTTGCCCACAACTTCCCTCCTTTACCTCCTCTTGGTCCAGGCACACCTCAGAGATACTGTGGTGCAGATAACTGATAGCCAGATCATAGAAACAAAGCCAAAGCAGCCGTGGGGCGAGTCATTTAGAGTATGCTGGAGCAAGACTTCAGAACTGGAACCATTTAGTATCCGAATTTTTATACATTTGAAAAAGAGGCCTGTTTTCATTCAAGGATAAATGAGTAGCTTAACATTAATTCATGCACATGGTGTTTTCCTGACTTCATTTCTCTTCTCAATTACATGCTAAACAGGAAGTTTCTATATGGGATAATTTGAACTCGGAAAGACCTGTTTGTGACTCATAAAGGTGGAGCCCCATTGTGTCAAAGTCTGCTCTTTGGTTTCTGGCTTAAAATAACCTAGTAGGTGGGAGAGTGAGAATGCAACATGCTACTGACTTCTGCTATACACCAATATTTCCCTGCAATAAGTAGGCTTGCTTTAATGACTGAGTTAGTTCAACAATTTTCTCTTATAAAAATGTCACCTTGGTGACACATCTCTCAGGCTTAGGTGGCTGACAGAACTCTATAAGTAATTTCATTGATTATTTTCTTTTTACTATAGTTTTGGAAATAAAGAGATAAGAAATTCCAGGTACTAAGAAAGAGGTTTGCCTTGATGAGAGGCTGTAAACAAATTGTCAGCATGCAGGCCAAACTCAGCCTGCCCAGATGTGCTCGTTGGTCGTCACAGAGTTTGAAAGAGTACAGTGTTATTTGTGAGCAAGATATTGGAGATTTCTGTCATTTAGGAGAGTAGATAGACAAAATGTGGAGGAGTTATATCTTGATTAACATTCAGTAGTTAAAAGCAATAAGCAAATGAATGGCTCTTAAAAACGTAATACTATCTACTAAAAAAAAAAAAAAGTAAAGTGAGATATATACTGCAATTCCATTTACATAGTATAATATATGTACATATAAAACATAGTTTATTCCTAAACAATTAAACACAGAATTACTGTATCATTCAGCGATTCCACTCCTAGGTTTATAACCAAAAGACTTGAAAGCAGAGACTCAGGTTCTTGTACACCAGGGACCATGGCAGCATGATTCACAAACAACCAGACAGTGGGAAGAAGCTACGCTCATCAACAGATGACTGGATACACGCATGTAGTCTATACATGTGTTGTTGTTGTTGTTAAGTGCTGTGAAATCAGTTCTAACTCATAGCAACACTGTGTAGGGTTTCTAAGGATGTCAATCTTTGTAGAATTAGCAGGTCTTGTCTTTCTCCCATGGAGCAAATGGTAGGTTTGAATTGCCAACCTTGTGGTCCGCAGTCCAGTGCTTATCCTACAGAGCCACTGTGTTCCCATACCTATATGAAGGCAGTCAAAAAAGTATTGCTACATGATTATAGAAACCTTTATAAAACAAAAATATCAAAATGTGAGCTATTGTTTCTTAACATACCCTCCATCTCAGTCTATACACATCCGAAGATGGCATTTCCATCTCTCTAGCACTTCCCTGAAGAATTCTGTGCTCTCTGATTGACACCCCATCCTGAAGGGACTCAATTCATGTTCTTTTAAAATATTCTTTGAGTTTGGGGAACAAAGAAGTGTCTGAAGGGACAAAATTTGAGCTGTAGGGTAGATGAGGTAAGATTTCCCATCAAAATTCTCTTAGAACAATCCTTGCTACTCTTGAAGAATGAACAGATGCATTGTTGTGATGGGAGAAAAAATGTCTTGGTGTAACTTTCCTTACCAACACAGTTTTCAGTTTTCTTAAAACTTCTTCCTAATAAGCCCCTGTAAAAATCTTGTGTGCTTTGATAAAACCTATTAAGATCACCCCTTTGGAATCCAAAAAACAGTCGCCATCATCTTCTGAACTGACCTATATGCTAACTGGTTCATCATACATCCCCTCAGATGGCACAGTTTTAATTGGACTCTTTTTTTTTTTTTTTTTTTTCCGGATGGGACCCTAATGAGACTAAGACAAGTGTATTCCTGACAGAACTTGTCTACAGCACTCCACTGATCACAGAGACATATTTTAAAACATTTTGTTTGGAATAAACCCATGCATATCCTCGTGCATTAGAACATTATTCAACCATAAAGGGAAATCTGTCTGGGAAGAAGTTCAGCCAGAATGCTCCTTGGAAATGAGAATGGTGAGACTTTGCCTCACATACTTTGAACATGCTATCAGAATGAATCACAGTTTCTGGAGAAAGACATCATGCTTGCTAAAATAGAGGGTCAGCAAAAAAGAGAAAGACTCTTAGTGAGCTGGATTAACACAGTGGCTGCAGTAATGGGCTCAAACACAACAACTGTGTGGATTGTGCAGGACTGGGCAGTGTTTTGTTCTGTGTGCATAGGGTCGATATGAGTCGTAGCTGACTCGATGCCACCTATCAACAACAACAGCTTGTATGCATTGTCTGTTGTTAGGTGCCATCGAGTTGGTACTGACTCATAGTGACCCTATGCACAGCAGAATGAAACACTGTCTGATCCTGGGCCAACCTCACTATTGTCATGCTTGAGTCCATCGATGCTGCTATTTGGCCAAATCTCGTTGAGGGTCTTCCTCTTTTTCTCTGACCCTCCACCTAACCAAATAGGATGTCCTTCTCCAGTGACTGGTCCCTCCTGACAATATGTCTGAAGTATGAGAGATGAAGTTTGGCCATCTTGGCCTCCAAGGAGCACTCTGGCTACACTTCTTCCAACACAGATCTGTTTGGTCTTTTGGCAGCCCATGACACTTTCAATATTCTCCTCCAAGATCATAACTCAAATGCATCAATTCTTCTATGGTCTAGAATAGGCAAATGTCTAGAAATAAAAATTTATAACTGGTTTTCAGGAATAGGTATGGTGCTGTAGGACCAACACTGGATTTCTAACTGAAAGATCAGCTATTCAAACCCACCAGCATCTCCTCGGAAACTCTATACAGGGTTGCTACCAGTTGGAACCTACAGAACAGTACTTAACAACAACAAGGAAAAGTAGGAAGGGGAAAGGGTAGTTATAGCTTAAGAGGTACCACATTTCTGTTAAGAAAAATTTGGAAATGGATAGTGGTCGTGAATTAATGTCGGAATTATGCATTTAAAAATACTTGGAATGACAAGCATACTCAAACAAGACGCTGCACGTTAGAAGATTACATTCAGAGAGAGAACAAGAGTAGGAAAATCTAGCAAATGGGAGTAAAATTTCCATCATTTTAAAATTGGGAGAGTTCACATACAACAATATAGGTTTCTCAGTTCTTGAGTGAGTGCTAATACTGAGTTTGTGTTCTTAGATAAAAACAACTGGAATTGTGCCATAGATTTCAATAGCCTGGTTGCTACCTACTATCTGCTACCACCCCATACATTCTAAGAGTCCTGTGATCCTGAAACTAATGTGCTAATTTTGACCTTCCACCCAAGTGTCTTGAGTCCCTTCTAAGTCTAAGACTGTGTATGTTGTTGCTATTGTTAAACGTCATCTGTCAGTTCCGAGTCTTAGAGGTCCCATGTAGAGTTTCTGAGGACCAGCTGGTGGTTTTTCAACAACCCACCTTGTGGTTAACAATCCAGTGCTTAACCTACAGTGCTACACCAGGACTCCAGACTCTGTGTATAGAATGACGTTTATTCTTCCTCCATGTGGTATTTTCTTCTAAGCATTAATTCTGCTGGAATTAGTAACTCTGAATGATAATTAGAGATGAATATGAAGAGAGGCTTTACAAAAACCATCTCCATCTTGTCAGCAAATAAGTAATACCAAATTAAATGACTCTACTCCCTCAGGAATGCATGGCTATTGTACTCATTCCTTCTGTTTCACCTCCCTTGTATCTTATGCTAGAGAACTTCCCTCAATGTGTGCTGGAAATATCGGATCAAGAAGTATTGGAATGGTATACTGCCAAAGACTTTATTGTTGGGAAAACACTCACTATCCTTGGGAGAACATTCTTCATTTATGACTGTGATCCATTTACTCGGAAGTATTACAGAGAAAAGTTCGGAATCACTGACTTACCATGCATTGATGTGAGCAAGAAGGAACCACCTCCTATAAAACAGGTAATAGAACACTTGTTTGAATGTGGTAAGAGAATTAATCTTTTGATGTAGAAACTTCAGAAGAAAGAAGAAACTCTCAATAAAATAATAAAACGAATACTCAATGAAATAAAGCAGTTCACAAACGAAGAAACAAATGGCCAATAAATATATTAAAAGAGCCCAAGTCTAACCAATAAGCAAAAGAATAGAAATAGAAAGATTGATGTTTCTTGATTTATTAAATTTTCAAAGATTAAAAAACTCACATGATGTGAAGAAATGGACATTTTCATAAACTGTTAATGGAAAATTTAAAAAGCCACACAAAGAGGTATAAAAATGTCGGGGTCTGCCCTCAACATAGTTGTGTTGTTCACGAGTGTTTGGTTCACGAGGAGGGGAGATCCAGCGGCGATAGGAATAGCGAAAGAATACACAGACAAACAGAAGAAGGGAGACAATGAGGCACCCCAAAGCCAGGGTGGATACATCACTGGTGGGCAGGCTTGGGACTACAGGCATCATAGCCTCTGCAGGCAGCAACTCACTGCCCTGCAATCTTTACTGCGTTCCTTCCAACCAGTAATGCACACCTGGGGAGGCCCGGGCCTCTGCTTTATTTAGGGGAGGAGCTTCACACCAAGCTGGGAGGGACCAAAACAGGATACAGCTAACATCAGTAATTTTCCAGACATTCAGGTAACTTTACATCATACTTCGCTGGTTCGACTTCCAGGCCAGCAACTTGGATTCTCAGGCCCAATTAACATATCTATAGCCCCTGAGGTCAGTTGGGGGAAGGTGAGCGTTCTGCAGGAGATGCCCAGGTGAATGGGCTGCACCTGGAAAAGGGATTAGGGAGGATGGGTTCTTTGTCTATAGAACAAAGAACCGAGAAGTAGCTAAGATATTTTTAGTTAATCCTTTTGGAGAAAGGCTTGACCTTGCAACCTTTAGTCTCGGCTTTGGGAAAATATCACATTTATCTGTGGATTATCAAAGGCTCCGTGTATTAATTTAATATATATAACTGAATATTAAAATGAAAGCAATTTGCCATTAACTGCCAGTGGCCTCATTTGTTATACTCGGCCCTAGAAGGCCTCGAACCTCTGACCAGTCTTACACGGTCCGCAACATAAAAATAAATGCCTTTTTGTCATCTCCCACCTCCCCATTCCCACATTGTATTATTAATTACTGCTAAGAATACAGTATAAGTCCTGGTGTGGTGCTGTGAGTTAATGCGCTTGACTGCAAAGTCACTTTGAACTGCAAGGTTGGCAGTTCAAGCTCACCAGTTGCTCCTCGGAAACCCTATACATAGTTGCTAAGAGTCAGAACTGACTCAACAGCACCTAACAGCAACAATAGTACAGTATAGATCCTTTGAGGTCTTTTCCTTAGTTTGTATATATGTTGTTGTTGTTGTTAAGTGCTGTCGAGTCGATTCTGACCCATAGCAGCCCTGTATGGGGTATATACATATATATAAAAATTTATGAAATTAGGATCATACTATAAATATATGTTCACTTAAAAATATACCATAAACATTCTTCCCTATTAATATGCATAGACTTAACTTCCTCCTTTTTACCAGAGCATTTCATGATTTCTTGCCACCTTAGCAAAACTTTTAGCTAAAAAACATGATTGGGTGCAACCCACAGAGACTGGGGGAACCCCCACATTTGTTTCCCTGAAATTATTCTGAGTCCTTGAACCAAAACTGGCCCTCAAGTCATCTTTATAATAAACAGCACTCTAGTTCAGTTAGTAAAGAATGGTTGCCTTGCATTTTGAGCCCTTTTAGAGAATGCTCTGTATGAGATCAGACTGACAGCAGTTTGTGTAGATGAGTTGTTTAGGAGTCACTGAGTCTCTAAATGGTGGTGAAACAAGACTGTGGAGATAGTGGGGATGGTAGCACAATAAGGAGAATGGAACCAGAGTTATTGAACCGAACACGTAGAGATTATTAATGGGTGTGTATGTTTTGTTGTGTGTATTTTCATACATGCCTCCCCCTCCAAAAAAAAAAAAAAAGTAATTGTGTGCAACAGAAAGACTGAGTGATTAATTGAAGGTGTTGAAGGATGGTTTTCTCTCATTGCAACATAACTTTCCTCAGAACCACACCATCCAGTTCTGTGCACCAAGCCCACTCCAATATGAGAGGAGGTTCATGTCATATTTAATACTCCAAAACAATAATTTGGTAAGCATAAGACTTCAGAAGTCTGCCAGACCATATGTTTTAAGAATTTAAAATGAGAATTGCTTGTTTGTATTTTTTTACTTATATTTTTATAGAAGGCAGCCCAGTGTCATGGCCTACACAGGTTCAGACTGAGGCAGGAGCAGCTCATGACCTCCCTATGTCTGTGGTCATGTGTAAAGTAGGGAGTTACACCTGCGGCCAATCTTTATATTGCTGCTGTGAGTATGAAGGAGCCTCCCTGGACCTTGCTCCTCTATGGAGTTTATCCATGCCGAAGCTCGTGGTCTCCCGGCCTCCATCTCCTGCACCCCTTTGCTTATACTTACTCTTCAGTTCTTGTTCAGAGTGGCTGAAGAGTAAGCACTGGACTGCTAGCCGCAGGTCCTTAGTTCAAACCTACCAGCTGTTCCTTGGAAACCCTTTACAGGTTCACTATGAATTAGAACTGACTTGGTGGAACGTAGCAGCAACATTATTCAGTTATATTGAGCTGTATGTGGTTTTACCAGGATTGCATCCTGTTGAACTCCCCTGAGCTTTTCTTCATGCTCTCCCACCTGCTTGAATTATTTTTCTAATATTCTTTCACACAGTTCTTTCTCATTCTTCTAGGCTTCCTGTGCCCAAAGAAGGCTTCCCTAAACTTCCAGGCAGGGCTAAACACCCCTCATCTGCATTCCTGGAGTCCTCTGTGACTGGTTTGCTCTAGCACTTATCAGCAGTATGAAAATATCAGCTCATGAATCTTTTCTACAGACTAATTTCCTTGAGGGCAGGGATGATATTCTATTCATTGTCAGCATCTAACACCCACCCACTACCACTGACTCAGTTCAATTCACAGCAACACCATAGGACAGAGTAGAACTGTTCCCTAAAGTTTCCGAGACTGTAAATCTTTATAGGAGCAGACAACCTCATCTTTCTTCTGGGGAGCAGCTGGAGGATTTGAACTCCAGACTTAGTGGTAAGTAGCCAAACACTTAATCCACTGCACCGCCAAGGCTCCTGGAGAACCTAATACAGTGCCTAAAAGATGTTGTTGTAAAGTGTTCATGAGTCAGTTAAGGAGACATGTATACATTTCTTCAGTAGACTGAAGAAGCTTGTCTATGATATAGTTGATGTTCCCCTTAAAAGGCAGGTGGTGTTGTAGGCAAGCATTTAAGAACCAAAGTTTCATGAAAATAATTAGAAAGAAAGATTTGGATTTTGGTAAGTTCGGAGTTCCCTGGGGCAGTAGAACTTCTGGAAGAAAATGTGGGTGATGACAGTACCTCTTGCTGTCAGTTTTTTTTCTCTGATAAAACTCTTGGTAGAAATTATTGTGCTTATTCATTAAGATTTATAATAAAACTTTGCCATCCCACTCCAATTTTTTTGGCACCATGTTAGTGTAGAGAAAAAGATACCACATTAACAGATCTAGATTGAAAAAAAAATTATGATGGTAAAATATGTATGTTACAAAACATTTATCATTTTAATCATTTTTAAAGTATGCATTTCAGTGACATTAGTGATATAGTCACCATGTTGTACAACCGTTAATAGTATTCATTTCTAAAGTTCTTTTGTCACTCCAAACATACTCAGTACCCCTTAACGAATAACTCCTGTCTCCCTTCTCTAATCAACCACTAATAAACTTTTTTTTATCACTATGCATTTGCCTATCCCAGATATTTCATATAAGTGAAATAATACAACATTTTCCCTTTTGTGTCTAGCTTATTTCACTTAGCATAATGTTTTCAACATACATCTACCTTGGAGCATGTGTCAGAACTTCATTTCTCTTTATGGCTAATAATACCCTACTGTATGATATACCCTGTGTTTATTGATGGACACAGGTTGTTTCCACCTTTTGGTTATTGTGAATAATGCTGTAGTGACCACTGTTGTATAAAATATCTATTTGAGTCCCTGCTTCCAAGTCTTTTGGGTATATGCACTGGAGTAGGATCCCTGGGTCATATGATAATGGTTTAATATTTTGAAGAACTACCGAACAGTTTCCATAGTGACTGCTCCATTGTACATTCCACTCAGCAATGCATGAGGATTCCAATGTCTTTACTTCCTGGCTAACACTTGGTATTTTCTGTTTTTATCATAAGAGCCATTCTTGTGTGTGTGAAGTGGTATTTTATGGTGATTTTGATATGCATTTCACTAATAACTAATAATGCTAAGAATCCTTTCATATGCTAATTACCCATTTGTATATCTTGTTGAGAAAAGTGACTATTCAAATCTTTTTCCCATTGTCAATTTGAATTGTCTTTTTTTTTTTTAATTGTAGGAGTTCTTTATATAGTCTGGGTACTAAATCCTTATCAAATACTGGTGTGGTGCTGTAGGATAAACAGTCGACCACTGTTTGAATCACAAGGTTGATGGTTCAAACTCACCAGCCACTCTTTGGAAACCATATATAGGGTCACTATAAGTCAGAACCCACTCAACAACACATAAGAACAACAACAATCAAATATATGGTTCCCAAATATTTTGTCCCATTCTATAAATTGTCTTTTTATTTTGTTGATAAGTCTTTGATGGAAAAAAGTTTTAATTATCTATTAATTCCAATTTATCTATTTTTGTCTCTTGTTGCTCATGTTTTTAGTATCATATCTAAGAATTTGTTGTCAAAACAAGGCCTTCAAGCTTTACTCCTATGTCTTCTTCTAAGAGTTTTTTGGTTTTAGTTCTTATATTTAGTTTCATGATCCATTTTGAGCTCTTGTTTTATATGGTGTGAGGTATGGGTCTAGCTTCATTCTTTTGCATGTGGAGATTGTTTTCCCAACTCCATTTGCCAGAGACTATTTTTGCCCCATGTAATGGACTTGGCACCGTTACTAAGCATCAGTTGACCATAGAAGTACGGGTTTACTTTTGTTGTTCAGTGTTACCGAATCAATTCTGACTCAGAGAGAGCCTGTTTAGGTTTCCAAGAAGCAGCTCGTGGATTGAAAGCACTGACCCTGTGGCTAGCAGTCCAGTACTACCCTATAGCATCACACCAGACTGCAAAGCCATTTGAACTGCAAGGTCGGCAGTTCAAGCTCACCAGCTGCTCCTTGGAAACCCTATACAGGGTCGCTATGGGTTGGAACCGACTTGACGGCACTTCACAACAACAACAGTAGTAAAGTCAACTCTGACTCATAGTGACCCTGTATAGGGTTTAAACCTCCAACCTTGTGGTTAGCAGTCCAGTGCTTATCTTACAGCATCACACCAGGACTCTGAGTTAAGTAGTTCCAGGGACGTGCCTGAAGTCATGTTGCAAAGTACAAGAGCAATTCTGTTGAATGGCAAGCAATTTACGAAGAATCTGTTTTATCTAACCCATGCATGAGGAGGTAGGATGAAAAGGGATCAAAAAAAGTTTTTTAGTGAGAAGGTTTTGAATCATCTTTTGACCAGATGAAAATTTTTGATTCTAGAATATCTCTGGTTCCTACTGCCATTACAATCATCCCTTTTCTCCTAACCTATCTGGTAAGGAAAGAAAGGGAAAAGACAGCTTGAGTAAAGAGCAGAGAAAATAAAGAACCACTGTAGATTTTTGGTTTATTTGAGTTGGCCAGTCTTAGCCCTCTACAGAATAAAACTAACTCTAAGTCTGCACAGACTGCACATTAATCATGGTTTATTAATACAGTTTGGTCCGTTTGTTTCCAGTAAATTCTCCACAGTAAATAATACAAATATGGAAGTCTCTCTATGGAAACCCATGGAAGTCTTTGCCAATAATGAGTAGGAAAGCTCCACCTACCACACAGCAAATACTTTAGTCTTTGCACTTCAATCTTTTTAACCCGGGACCTCTTAGTTGGCAGCCAGACATGGGAAGCTATAGCAGAGTCTAGAAAGATTTCTGACCAGAGTTCAGAGACAGAGATGGATATGAAGTGGGTATATTCCATCTGGGGTCCTAGTGTGGTGCTATAGGATAAGCACTGGATTGCTAACCACAAAGTTAACAATTCAAACCCACCAACTGCTCCTCAGAAACCCTGCAAAGGGTCCCTATGAGTCAGAACTAGCTCGATGTCACATAACAACAATAATAACATATTCAATCTGAAAACCAAGTCACTCGAAAGTCTAGTCAATCTTCTAAATCAGGAATAAATAAGGATATATACAATTACCCGATGTCCTAGGTTAGTTCCATCTGGACACATGATGGTAGGAAAGAAGAAACCAAGAGTAGGAAAACTAATCTGCTTTGGGGCTGGTCCTTAAAAGCAGTAATCAGAAAGATTATGGGTTCCATGGATACGAGCTTTGTTTAGAAAGCCTGGGTAGAAGATATGGTGTGCGGTCATATGAGTAGTAGTAATATATATATATGGAGGGATGATGTCCATAGTTAGGTGAGTGGCCCATCTAATTTAGAGCAGGACTGAGACAGTAGCTTAGAGGAGGAAAAGCAAGGTGCTGCGACCCCAAGTGTATGAGTTGAGATTTAGGGAAAGTCTTCGTTACAGACAAGGAAAATGAAGTGTGATTCAGGGAAACAAAGGAATGAGCCTTGTCACGGGTTGAATTGTGCCCCTGCCCCTCACCCCCAAAGTATGTATGAACTTGGCTAGGCTGTGATCCCCAGTGTTGTGCAGTTGTCCTCCATTTTGTGATCTGATGTCATTATTTTGTGATGTGTTATAAGTCCTAACATCTCTATGTCCATGAGGCAGGATTAGTGTGGAGTGACTACTGAATCACAGCCTTTCAGAACTCAAGTCTTGCCCTTACTCAAGTTGCATTCTTATTTAAGTCACACGCCTACTCAAGTCACACCCTTGTTAACGATTGTACAACGTGGTGAATGTATAGCTAAAGTCACTGAATAGTATACACCCTTGCTTGAGTCACACCTTTTATTTTACAAGAGATGAAAGGAGAGTGAAGTGAGCAGAGAAGGGAAAGACCTCATTACTGCCAAGGAAGAGGAGTTAGGAGCGAGCATGTTCTTTGGAATCAGGTTCTCCATGCTGAGAAGCTCCTAGACCCAGGGAGAAATGGATACCAAGTCACATGGAATACCGGGCCCACAGATATTGAAAAGAGATAAGGACCTTCCACCAGAGCAGAGAGAGAGAGAGAGAGAGACTTTCCCTAGAGCTGGTGCCTTGAATTTGGACTTCTAGCTTCCTAAACCGTGAGAAAATAAAAAGTTCGTTAAAGGCATCTACTTACGTATTCGTTAGAACAGCACTAGATAATGAAGACAAGTCTGCCCAGACAAAATAAGCCTTCTGAGAGGATGGCTCAGAAGTTTTCAGCTACTTTCCTATTTCAAAAGCCCTCAACCAGACTTCCACCCGCTCCCAGCCTGCACTGCTTTCATTGGGTGTTGGTGTGGATACAAATCAAGTTCAGGTTCTACCACTCTGCACTTTCTGCCTAACCTACAGAATAACTCAAGGTTTGCCATGTGTTGTCTCAGCCCAAGGTCCCTCTGCCCATGGCAACCTGTATATTTATTGAGTTGTGGTTTTACACTTGAAGCACATTTAAGTCATTGTCCTTCTGCTGGATAGTCTAGTCATGCTGATCAATTAACTATAGTCTTGGGAAGCGGGCAAGGGATCAGTGTTCCAAAACTGTGCACCTGGAGGAACATAGCAGAGCTGTTAATTGTTGAGGAATTAAACTTCTATGGACGGAATTGTTAAAGTGCCTGAACACAATTTAAAAAAAGAAAGAAAGAAAGGCTCTTGGGAACGTATACACAAGTGAAAATGCATGGTACAAGCTGAGTTTGCTGCGAAAGCATAGCAAAAAAGAAGAGGGAGAAAACTCTGCTGATGTCTGTCCAACTTTGGTGAGGATAAGAAAAACCTTACTTATGAAATACTTGTTTTTAGCTATACAAATCTTAGCACCCTAGAATGATGCTTTCAGGTCTTCATGAAGCCTGAGTGAAACATAGGCTCACCCTATACCTTCTTGCTAACTTATGAAGGAAACTTTTCATCTGAAATTTGGTTTCTGAAGTACACTACTTCACCAGGAAAGGGTCTTGTGTTAACAAGGATTCAAGTTCCCCCAAAACTCTTGACTATCATCCATCATCTGTGAGGTGAAAATGTAAAAATCAAAATATTAGAAATACGTACACGAATAGGAGAAAAAGTAGTAGGAACCACGTCCTGACTACTCCCTCCCCCAACTCCACCACAGAGACACACATACACCCAGAGTCAGGTGAGTTAAAGAACCAGTTTCCAGATCTTCCAGGCTAAGGCCCACACTCACCTGTTTCTGTGATCAGAGAGCATGATGTAAAAGCCATAGATAAAACAGCAGTAAATAAGTAATGTGTTACTTTTCCTGATGACACTCGTATATGAAGGAAATGTTTTTTAATATTTTCCAGATTTGCATGCTTATCAGTGGTTTTATTTGTTTTTCCTTAGGAACATATAGCTACCTTTAGTATAATTTTAGCACATGTAACATTGACTTTAGTTCTTGCTTCCTGCTTGTCTCTAGGAATTACCTCCCTATAATGGTTATGGGCTAGTTGAGGATTCTGCTCAGAATTGCTTTGCTCTGATCCCAAAAGCTCCGAGAAAAGATGTTATTAAAATGCTGGTGAATGATAACAAGGTGCTTCGTTATTTGGCTATGATGGTAAGGCTGATTTTTATATCCTGTCTCATTACTGTGTAAATGATCCATTATGCTTGTAATCTGTGACATACTAGTTGGCAGAATTATGTGTTGATTCAAAGACTCATTTAATCTAGTACTCAGTCTTCAGGTATGGTGACCAAAACCCAAACCTATTGTCAAGTCAATTCTAACTCATAGTGACCCTAAATGACAGAGGAGAACTACCTATAGGCTTTCCAAGGCAGGAAAGCTGTACAGAGGCAGACTTCCTCGTCTTTCTTCCATGGAGTGGCTGGTGGGTTCGAACTGCTGATCTTTTCATTAGCAGTGTTTTAGCCACTGTGCCGCTGAGCCATCACCTAACTCTAGTTCTCACAAGAATCCTTCTTAGATCATTATTCTCTTCCCTCTATCGCTCAAATTTTGACAAACCTTTTTGCCTTTTTTTTATTAAGCACTAATGAAAGTCTGCTGTTTACTAAATTATTTGTGTATATGTGCTCACCAGCCACACCTCGGAAATCCTATCTATACAGCGTTGCTATGAGTTGGAACCAACCTGATGGCACTATAGCAACAGCAACAATAGTAATGGTTTAATTGAGAGTTCATACAACTAGTGGTTAAGAGCATGGAGTTTTATGTATTCTCCTTATTGACAGAATTACCTTAGGCAAATTACTGATAGGAAGTCAGAGGATAATGTCTTTTAA